TGGGGTGGCCGTGGTTATGAGTCTGTTTCTGGGCTCTGTTCGTCCCGTTGATCTGCGGTCTGTTCTCGCATCAGTGCCCCTGCCCACTTCCTGTAGCTTCGGTCAGCAGTGAGGCTGGTCAGCCCTCCGCCCTGTCCCGTCCGTAGGTGGCTATGACCGTGGGCTTTGCCTCCACAGCCACGTGAGGCTCAGTTTGTGGGGTCACAGCGTGACTCGCGGGGGTTTGCTTCCTGTGTATTGAACCTGTCGGTGGAGATGGAGGCACTGGCTCCGACAGCGTTGCCTCCTCCTGTCTCTGGACGCGGACTTTCTCCTTCCATGCCTGCTTCTCCCTCCGCGTCCGGCGTCAGGGGCGTGTGTTCTGTCAGATGCCACCCGAGCGTCTCACGCTTGGAGACGCCAGTGCAGCTGGGCCTGTGTTCAGTGCCAGGCCCCGCTGTCCATGCCGGCACCGGGAAAGGGGCTGCCCTGTCGTGCGACCCCCGCAACCTGCGACCTCGCCAGCATCGCTTCTTCGTTCCAGGAGGTTTTGGCCGATGCTTTTCCACTTTCTACAGAGACGATCATTCCATCCTGAGCAAGGACAGTGACGCGTGTCTCTCTCTTCGCAGTCGGTACATTTCTCATCTCCTTTTCTTGTCCTGTTGCCTTGGTGAGGCCTGCGTGGTGCTGAGCGCAGTGGTGACGGGCGTCCTGCCCCTCCCCGATCGGAATGGGAACCCTCCTGCTCCTCGCACTCGGCACCGGGTCGGCTGTAGGAGTTGTGGATGGTCCTTACCGAGTCCAGGAGCTGGGCTCTCCCTGGTTGGCGGAGCTTTCGTCGTGGTTGGGGGTTAGGTTTTGTCAAGATGCTCCTGCTGAGAGTATTGATAGGATCATGAGATGGTTGGGATTAGCCCCTGATTAATTATATTAATTTACTTTTCAACCAACAGTGAGACAGCCTTGCCTGCGTGGGTTTGGTTAGGTTTTGAGACCATAAAACACATGCAGTTAAGCTTGAAGGAATCATAGGGTCGAAATTTCTCCATTTCCTGGTTTAGTCTTCTCTTCGTTTGCAGACAGACAGGAAAACGAAAGTGAACAGTCCTATTTCTCCATCCACCTGCGTGCCCTGGCGTTCCGCAGGGCTGGTCACTGTAAAAGTGAGGCCCTCGCTGGTGTGGCTCGGTGGATAGAGCGTCGGCCTGCGGACTGAAGGGTCCCAGGTTCGATTCCGCTCAAGGGCACCTGCCTGGGTTGTGGGCTCGATCCCCAGTAGGGGGTCTGCAGGAGGCAGCCAATCAATGATTCTCTCTCATCACTGATGTTTCTATCTCTCTCTCCCTCTCCCTTCCTCTCTGAAATCAATAAAAACATTTTTTAAAAAAAGTGAGTTTGGGGCATCACGAGGGGAAACTCAATAGATCCGAAGCGTCCAGACATCTTACTGGAGGGAAAGCAACAAGCCTTACGGAGGGAGAGGAAGGTGGCAGGCAGGGCCAGAGCCACCCACACGCTCAGGCGTGTCTCCTCCGTTAGAGTCGCCGCCGCGGCCGGGATGAATATGCGCTGACGCCCGGTGCGCGCGTGGCTGGAGGGGGACCGGCCTCCTCATCGTCATTAACCTCCTGGAATGTGTTCTGTGTTTGTGCCTGAGCTCCTGGGCCTGGAGCTGCGGTGCGTCCGCGTGACGGGTCTCCGCCTGCGGTGGGTGCACAGGACGAGCGAGGAGAGCGCTGTTCAGCGCCCAGCCCAGCACGGGCCAGGCCCACGGCCCAGGGGCCGCAGGGACCACAGGGCGGATGTTCTGTTGTCATTTACTCAGTTAGGACTTGATCGATGTGTCTTTTCAATCTTTTCAATACGAGGTTCTTTGGCTAATCCTGCTTTTTGCTTTTTTTGACCGACCCTGGGGCTGTGGGCGTGTTGCTTCCTGAATTCCTCCCGTGAGTCCCCCTCGCTGAGCCGCCGTGTGACCAGCTCATCGCCCGCAGGGGGCAGGTGCGGTGACCAGGGCTCGCAGCTCAGCCAATGAGGCGTCACCTTCCCTCCGAGGTCACCTCTCTCGCGGCTTCCTGGGGTTGTAAGCAGACGGATTTATGTTTGCTGTTTGGTTTCCTCTTGGTGCCTGAGAAACACGTATTTATTGAAAGAGCCGTGTCGTGCCCTGGCCGGTTGCCCAGTGGTTAGAGCACCGGTGTCTGGGGTCTGATTCCCGGCACCTACCTGGGCTGCAGGTTCCCCGCCCCTGTTGGGGCGCGTGTGGCAGGCAACCAACCGATGTGTCTCTGTCACATCCATGTTTCTCTCTCTCCCTCTCTCTGTCCCCCTCCCTCCTCCCTTCCACTCTCTCCCGGAATCAATGGAAAAATATCGTACGGTGAGAACGGGGTGAGGACGAACAAAAAGCAGAAACAGCTGCCTGACTCCCTGCGGCCCCACAGTGGGGGGAGGGTGTGTCCTGCCGCGGGCTCTGCCCTGAGAGGCACGGGCGTCACGGAGGGAGAGTCAGAGCCACTGGTTCAGACGGTGGGGACAGTCGCTTGGGTGTCACTGCCCCGGACTGGCCCCAGGGTCTCCGGCTGAGCCCGGGGTGAGCGGCTGAGCCTGGGGTGACGGGCTGAGCCCGGGGTGAGC